AATGTACTCTCTGTTTGCTACCACTTTAAACTTACCAAGTAACTTAGATCAATTGCATCTTGGACTTCTTGAATGTCTGTACCTAGTCTGTGATGAATAGGGTCCTATTATACTGCACTATATAAATGCATTAAAAAGACAATACCTTTGCTCAAGAGCTTACCACCAAGATTTTTTTTTTTTTTGGAGACATGTAGGTCAGGATGTTGAGATTGGGTTATTATCATATGAGGAATTGTACACCACACAGAGATTGCCCTTTCCCTGAAGCACCTCGCAGCACCTTTGTCTCCACTCTGTATGTGAAGGCCAGCTTTTAAAGTTGCTTATGGTGCTTGATAGTTACTTATTTACATTCAAATGCCTAGTTACCTTTAAGAACCTGGCCTTCACACATAGATTGAAGACAAAGGAGGTAGGATGAGAAACAGGTATTATACATCTTGCTTAGTTGTCAGCATATCATGCAAAGCCAAGGACATGACATTTGGTCTCCAGAATCCCAGTCTAGTGCCCTGCCCTTTATGATCCTAATGCTTCTCATCAGAGGCATAACTAAGAATTCTAGCACCCTGGAAGTGGGGGGTGAAGCATGCCAAGAGCGAGTCTTACCTCCCCATACATGGGCCACTGCCATTGCTGCCACAGCAGAGGCTGCTGCTGGGGCATGGGCTTGGCAGACACAGGTCACTCTTGCTGCAGTGCTGGCTCTCCAGTGGACCCATTTCTGTCCCTTCCTCCAAACTGGTGTGTGGGGCTGGTGCCCTAGCCGCCCACCCCTACTTATGCTACTCCCTGTCATTCACAATGTCCTGGACTGAAGTGCAGCAAAAGCTTATCTTCAGAAAGTAAATTGTAAAAGCTGTAAAATATCTGCATGTTCTTTGTTGCAGGTTCCCTCACTGGTGGCATTTACCATTTAGAGATCAAGAACATAAAAGAATGAAAGACCTGAATCTCTATCTTAAGCGGTTATTGAGTGGACCCAGCAAAGTGGCTAACGTATGTGAGCTCTTTATTTGTTTCTCTCTGGCAATAATAGCTTACATTGCTTTTATCAGCTGCCTGCCCAAAAGACCCAAAGCTATAACAACCTACATAAAGTAACATCTCCAGCCAGATCATTTAACAGTGCCAGCCACATAAAGATAACACAGAGTAAATTTATTAGAGTTTTTTCAACATAATAGTTTCTTTATCAAAGCACTGATTCATCAAAATGGAGATTTTTTTTCTTAGGAAAGGGTGAGTTGCAGTAAATTTGCTATCAAAAACATTTGGCAAGAGGGAGAACAATTATATTGCTGAAACATCCCACTTTTGCCATTTTTTAAATAAAATGTTTTACTTTTTATGGTAAAGAGGATCAGAAGTTAATGTGTAGTTAAAAGATTTTTACAAAATTAAGGTGATATCAAATGAAATGGAACATTTAGTTCACCCAAGTTGATTTTTTTTCAATTCAGCAATATTTTTAGAATTTTAACTTTTTCCTCTGATTCACCAAAATGAGATAAATATTTAGAATCTCAAAATTTTCAAGGGATGGGAAAACAGTTTCTAACCCACCTTCATGATTTCAGCCAATTATAACCACACAGGCTGCATACAGACATTCAAATATTAGGGGGAGCTTAGATTACATTAAAAATGGCCACCTGTTCTCACTTAATTCACCATGTGCAAACCATACACTAGTTAAGTAGATCTTCCTGAGAACTGTACAGAAGTTCAGGACAGTTAGATTGGTCTAAAAATGGCTAACCCAATCTAAATTAATTGTACCTCTAAGGCAGTATAACTTAGTTCAGGTTCAGCGAGACCGATATAACTGAACTTCGGTACAGCACAGTCCTATGCCCTCTTTGACACTGGGCTATTTTTAGACCCCCAGTCCTACCCCAAGACAGATATTCCCCCTTGGAATAGCACCCCCACACACACACACTGCCAACCCATGAAACTCCCCATCTCACAAGTCACTCCTGGTGCCAGTTTTATCAATGTTCACCAATGCTTGGGAGCTGAAGAATAAGTTGGAGTCAGAGGAGGGCCAGGAGGGATGGGGGCAGGGGGAATTTTTTGGGGAGGGTTGTTTGTCTGGGGGGGGGGGTTGGAAGCTAAAAATAGCCCCTGGTCCCAGGGGGTGGGGAAAAAAGCCCTACC